AAACAAAAAATGTAGATTTCGATTCTGCAGCAGCTTAGTACCTTCCTACGATGTACATCAATGTACATACATAAGTGGCAAACGGAAGAGGTAAAGAAGAAAAGGAGCGCGCGCCGCAGCTGCAGCACTCAAGTGGCACACGAAGCACAAGGCAGAAGAAGCTGGCTAAAGTAATTGAAAAGCGTTTAACTCGAGTAGCTCGTGGGCGCTGCGAGAAATAGAAATATAAATGATTTTTTCTTTCCCCCACTGCAATGCAAGTAAGTATCTAAGTGCTAATCGATTATGTCACAAAGTGTTACTTTTAATTTCACTCTTAAAATTTCACTTTTGCAGAAGCTAAGCGAGACCATAGATACTAAGTTAAAAAAAAACAAGTAAGAGCAGCGCTGTCTTCGGCTATGCCGAAGGCTTCATACCTTTCATGAACATCTGCAAATTTTACTTTGACAGATTACTGCTTTTGAATACATCTGCATACATCGATAGAGGAGTTACATACTTATATAAAAAATCGCACCTAAACAATCAGAGGTATGGAAGATATACTTTATATGACACCAATCTAAGTGATTTTCACCGCTATGTGATCGGTATGTAAACCGGTAACACAATTTATTGGGTTTAGTTTCCTACATAAAGGAGATATATCGCAAAAACTGGTATCTGAACAATCAGTGCTATAGGAGATAAAGCTTATACAGCATAGATTTTGACGATTTTCTCAGTAGACTTTGTATTATTATTTATAAAATATCTTACGAAATTTATCGGTTTTAGCTGTTCAAATAAAGAAGTTTTACAGTAAAATCCCATATCTGAACAATCAGATGTTTGGGAGATATATGTTGTAGTCATCCGATCCTTGTTATTTTCACTGTAAGTATTCTGTTAATAATGAGTGAAAATGGTGCGAAACTTCATGTTCCTAGCTGCATAAATGGAGGAGTTATGATAAAAGACCTCATATCTGAACAATCAGTTGTATGGGGGCTGCAGGTTATAGTGACCCGATCTTT